AGCTCTGGTGTATGTGGCTGGTGCCCTAGCTGCTGAGCTACAGGCACTGAGCCCAGGAATGATTTTGAATCTTATCTAACATCTCTATCATAATTAATGTACTTTAAAAATTAAACTAAATTTAATAAACATTAAAATTACACCTGGGTTTTCTATTCTATTCCACTTCGTGTCCGGTTTTTATGCTAGTACCACGCTTATTTGGTTAGCTATGTAATAATTTTTTTTTTTTTTTGAGGCAGAGTCTCATTGTGTCACCCTTGGTATAGAGTGCCAAGGCATCATCACAGCTTATAGCAACCTCAAACTCTTGAGCTTGAGCAATCCTCTTGTCTCAGCCTCCCCAGCAGCTGTGACTGTAGGGGCTCACCACAATGCCTGGCTAGTTTTTTTTATTTTTAGTAGAGATGGGGTCTCATTCTTGCTCAGGATGGTCAAACTTCTGAGCTTGAGCAATATACCTGCCTCAGCCTCCCAGAGTGTTAGGATTACAGGCGTGAGCCACTGTACCTGGTCTGCTCTGTAATAAATTTTGAAATCAGGAAGTGTGATGCTTCCAGCTTTGTTCTTTTTGCTTTGTATTGCTTTGGCTGTTCAAAGTCTTTTGTGGTTCTTTGTATGTTTTAGGATTATTTTTCTATTTCTGTCAAGAATGTCATTAGTATTTCAACAGAGATTGCATCTAATCTATAGCACTGCTCTGGGTAGTGCTGTCATTTAAGCAATATTGGTTTTTCCAATTCATTAGCATGGAATATATTTCCATTTTTTGGTGTCCTCTTCAATTTCTTTTATCAATGTTTTACAGTTTTCACAGTATATAGATGTTTCATGTCTTTGGTTAAATTGATTCCTTGCTTTCTTGATTTCTTTTTCAGATTGTTCGCTGTTGGCATATAAAAATGCTACTGATTTTTGCACGTTGCTTTTGTATCCCAAAGCTTTCTTGAATTTGTTTACCAGTTCTAACAGTTTTTTGGTGTAGTCTTTAGTTTCTTTCTTTCTTTCTTTAATAGGAGTTTCTGTATTTCCTTTTACAAATGAAACAAGGTAGTAACAGGGTGGGGGGTGTCTGGGAACACGGATGTAAATCCATGCATTTACAGCCAACTCATCCTTGACAAAGGTGCCAAGAACATAAAATGGGGAAAAGAAAGTTTGTCCAATACGTGGTGCTGGGACAACTGAACAATCACACGCAGAAGAATGAAACGAGACCCCTCTCTCTCACCGTACAAAGACATCAAATCAAAATTGATTCAAAACTTAACTTTAAGGCCTGAAATTATGAAACTCCTAGAAGAAAACATAGGAGAAATGCTGTCGGACATTGGTCTATGCAAAAATTTCCTGTATAAGACTTCAACAATATAGGCAACCAAAGCAAAAGTAGACAAGTGGGATTATGTAAAGCTAGAAAGCTTCTACCCATAAAGGAAATAATCAGCAAAGTGACGAAACAACCCTCAGAATGGGAGAAAACATTTGCAAACTACCCATCTGATAAGGGATTAATAACCAGAATATATAAGGAGTTCAAATAGCGCAATAGCAAAAGAACAAATAATCAGATTGGAAAACGGGCAAAAGATCTGAACAGGTATTTCTCACGAGAAGACGTACAAAGGGCCAACAGGTATTTGAAGAGGTACATCACTAATTACCAGAGAAATGCAAATCACAACCATAATGAAATACCATCTCGCCCTGCTAAAATGGCTTTGATCAAAAAGACAAGGAATAACAGACGCTGGGAAGAATGTGGAGAAAGGGGAAACCTTGTACACTCTTGGTGGTGGGAATGTAAATTAGTACAACCACTGTGGGGAAGAGTATGGAGATGCCTCAAAAAACTAAAAACAGAACTAACCTGATCCACGAATCTCACTGTTGGGTAAAGATCCAAAAGAAAGGAAATCGATGTGCTGGAAAGATACCCGCACTCCCCTGTTCACTGCAGTATTACTCACGATACGAGACACGGTATCAACCTGCATGGCCATCACCCCATGGACAGATAAAGAAAACATGGTACCAATACATAATGGAACATTCCGCAGTCATCACAAATAATGAAATCCTGTCATTTCTAACAACACGGATAGAACTGGCGGGTATTATGAGAGGTGCGATAAACCAGGCACAGAAGGACAAATATTACATCTTCTCATGCATAAAAATGTAGATCTCATAAAGTTGGAGTACACTGACGGCTACCGGAGGCTGGGAAGAGTGGGGGGTGGGGACGAGAGGTTGATGAATGGATACAAATATACAGTTAGGTAGAAGAAATAAGATGTAGTGTATATCACCAGGGTGACTGTAGTTTAAAATAATTTATGATGCATTTCAAAGTGGTGAGAAGAAAATAATTCAAATATTTTCGGCATAAGGAAAAGACAAACATTTAAAGGTATAGATATTCCAAGTACCCTGATTTTGTTTTTTTGATTGGCTTTTGAACTCTCAAAGGAGCTTTATAAAATATACGAATATTTTAAATTATCAAAATGTACCCTGAAACTATGTCTATCTATTATGCATCAAAAAAAAATTTTTTTTTTTGCAGTTTTTGACTGGGGCTGCATTTGAACCCACCACCTCCGGCATATGGGGCCGGTGTTCTACTCCTTTGAGCCACAGGCACCGTCCTGCATCAAAAAAATTTTTAAGTAGAAAAACACTGTGAAGATCATATGACTACTTTCTCACTGGAAACATATTTTATCTTCAAATACACCTGTTCTTGTATGAGGCCGAGCTCTACAGTCGTAAATACAGGACACCCTGAAACCACCTGGAATTGTGGAGCACCACACATGGAGAAAACCTCAGTCAGAGATCGCACGTGGTAGCCCAAGTCAGGAAGGTCAAATCACCTTCACGACACTGAGGAGGGTGATCCCTGGCCCTGGTGGACTGCCTCCCTGAGAGTGAACTCACTACTGGGCAAGACACTCCACTGCTGAACAGTTTCCACACTAGAAAAGTCTTCTCCATATAAAGATCTGAAAGAAGAAAGTGCCTGAGAGGATGGGCAGCTTTCCTCCAGGAAGTCTTTTTGGCTTTCTCCCCTCCCAGGGGAGGGGTACAGGAGCGAAGGAACAGGGAGAGGTGTCAGAAGAAGGGAAGGAAAATGGCAGAAACACAGGAAGGGAAGAGGGAAAGGGGGAGAGACAAAGAAAAACAGGAAAGCAGGAAAGCAGAGCTGGTGAGCAAGCTTGAGAGTGTGAGACAGAGGAAGGAGAGAGGGAAAGGGGGAGGGGGTGTGAGGGGAAAAAGGAGGAGGGTTTGAAGGTGGGGACTCTGAGACTAAAAGACAACCCCTCCATGCTGCCCCTCCCACATCTGCCCAGAGGCATCCATGCCATCACATAGGGGACAGCAGATGTGGAGTTGACAAAGGTCTGCTTCCTGAACACCTCATCCTGTCCTGCGCTGACCTCCTGCCACTGTGACCTGGTCTGCCGGGAACTGCAGGGAGGGGGCAGGGAGCATGGGCCACCCTGGCTTGCAGTCCCCAGGAGGGAGGATGAGCCAGCTCCTGCCTGCGGCTGGCCAGCCCCATCAAGGCTAAGTTTGAATTAATGAATAGAGTCCCTGGACTGAAAGCATGTGTGTCCCTGAGTGGCAACCACATGCTAGAGCTATGACAAGAACCTGAATCTGCCCGTATGTGAGATGTTAGAGCCTTTCCTGGAAGTGTGTCTCAGGGACTGGAGAAGGTGAGAGTTACAAGGAGGGCAGCTGGGTACAGAGGGCAGCTGGAATGAGGTGGTGGGTAATTCTGACTACTGCCCATGGCTGACTCTGGGGTACTGGGGTCATTCTAAACCTGGGGTGAAGGTTTCTCTGCTGACCTGGGGCAAGCAGATCCCCATTCTTT